AAATACAGACACAGATCACTCTGCACCTGTCATCTAAAAAGACGCATCTGGCTGGGCATGGTGACTCACCAGCACTTTGGGAGGTTGAGGTGGGCAAATCACCTGCGGTCAGGAGTTTAAGACCAGGCTGGCTAACATGGTGAGACCCTGTCTTTATTAAAAATACAAAAAATTAGCTGGGTGTGGTGGTGTATGCCTGTGATCTCTGCTACATAGGAGGCTAAGACAGAATTGCTTGAACCTGGTAGGTGGAGGTTGCAGTGAGCCGAGATCGCACCACTGCACTCCAGCCTGGGCAACATAGTGAGACACTGTCTCAAACAAACAAAAAAGACACCTCATCTGCAGAAACCTGCCCTGGTGCTACCTCTTCCTCCCACTCGCAAATCCAGGATGAGGTACTGAATTTGACAACCCCACCTACAAAATCATTTGTTAAAATCATTAAACAAAGAGATATAACGTGTCATTCTACTAGCTCTACTTTATCATGTGTCATCACCTCCGAGCACCCAGAAGCCTAAGGTGTTTCAAAACAAGAAACTGAATTTCACCCACCAGGAACACAGCTGTGTTAAATGGAACTGACAGGGAACTACAGTATAATCTGGAGTGTTTTCTAAAAATAAATAGAACCATTCCTTTCGTGCTTTTCTGATTTCTCCAGTAAAGTGTTCATTAATGAGATATAGCTCAGAGATGGCTTAAGAACATCAGTTCCAGAGAGAGTCCCACCTCCTTTATAAATGCTGCCAAAGGATATTGGGTTTTGAATTGAACCTTTTCCCTCCTTCACTGCCTTTTGCACTTCCCTCAACTCGTGAAAGATCAAGGGCATGAGTCTAAGAAATGCTGTGAAAATTGCATTCCCTTAAGTGATTTCCAGAAGGCAGTGTTCCTCTCCAGTGAATTTTAACAAGAGTTAGAAAATAAGTTTTTCTCATTTTACTTTTAGCATCGTTGACAACTTCTCCACATCTAGAAAGGCCACATGTTGCAAAGAATTCAAGTTTATTTCAGAAGGTTGCAGTAAAAGCTTATAGCAGCTGGTCCATATTATGCACAACAGAGTTGGTAAATCAAATAGAGGGTTGTCACTTCTGATGGCCAAATGAGACACACCATAAGCCATCATTTCTCACTCCTCTACCAAGAACACCCAGAGGTTGTTTTGGTCTTGGTTTCTCTCACTGGCTACCCAGCTGCCTTCTTGCCATTTCAGTGGGTGGGGGTCCCCGGTTCCCCATTCACCCCCAACGCCTGTGCCCCACATGGGGCCATTGCCTGCAAAGGTGGGGTGACCGTGGCTCTATTTCCACCATTCACCCATCCCCTGAAGTAGGTGGGATATTATATGCACACTGTAGATTTCTGCGATTTTTTTTTTTGAGACGGAGTCTTGTTCTGTCACCCAGGCTGGAGTGCAATTGCACGACCTTGGCTCACTGCAACCTCTGCCTCCTGGGTTCAAGCGGTTCTCCTACCTCAGGCTCCCAAGTAGCTGGGATACAGGCACTCACCACCACACCAGGCTAATTTTTGTATTTTCAGTAGAGATGTGGTTTCACCATGCTGGCCAGGCTGGTCTCCAACTCTTGACGCCTACCTCGGCCTCCCAAAGTGCTGGGATTACAGGGATGAGCCACCGTGTCCGGCCTGCAATTTGATATTTTTACCTGTCTTCAAGATCTTTCCTTTCTCATGGAGATACTTCGATTTTTATAAATACAGCGACACAAAATTTTAAATGGCTTCAATAACAAAACTTGGCCTCTTTGGAAGGGCACTGGAACACAGATGTCCATAAAAGAATTCTACATGATAAAATCTATTAATTATTCAGCATTTTAACAATCACAATTCAACAACTTACAGTGATCTGAAGGTACTCAAAATCCTAAATGACTTCTGAAATTAAATTATGTTCAGTAAAAAACTAAGTTAAACTTTTTGGGTTTTGGATAAACCTAAGTAAACTACAATTTTGTTGCACTGAAATAATACCTATCTTAGAGGTGGTTTCCCCAAGCTGTTAGCCAATCTCTTTCTCTAAGCACTATTTTACCAGATTTTCAAGTTGATAAAAATAATAGTTATTCTCGTATTTGGTAAATACCACTTTATAACAAAGAAAACACTTCCAATACAACACCTTCTCTTTGTTTATTAATAAAGTAATTCATTATGATTTTTGAAAAAAAAGTTTTAAAATGTTCTGCATACATGTTAATGTAGGTTAGGCCATCCAAAACACAAAGCAAAGCGTCAACATTAAGTCATGGGCTACGATTATACAAATGAGAACAAATACAAGGCTTATGATACTTGATAGGTAAACACAACCAAACTAAACTGTACTTCAAATTTGTTTATATAAAAGCCTATTAAAGCTCACTTTAAAATAGTGTCCGTCTTTTCTTTTAAACAGGCATAGACTCATTTGCACTCATGTACAAATATACCCAATCACTTTCTTCATCTTTTAATACAATTCCTTGCTTCTTTATGTAACCCAACAAAATAATATAGAATGAAGTCATTAGAAAAATATGAACCTTTCTGAATCTATATTACATTTTTAATTTAAATCAGAAAATATAGTTTAGATCATATGAAACATATGGATTTCAGACATATATTATCTGTTTCTAAGAGATTATTAGATACGGTCTTTATTTTGGCTGAAATGCAAAAATATGACTTTCTTAATAACAGATTAGTTAAAAATGCTTTCCACTGATAGCAGTGCTAATCCTTAGAACAAAAGGTAAGCAAAACTTATTTGTAAGTTACAGCCTATTCAATGCCCAGAATATGTATATCCTAAATCTAAGCTCTTAATATACATCTGCTTTAAAGATAACTGTAAGGAGATCTCACATGCCTGATAATCTTTAAACAGTCCAGTAAACATAGTCAAAATTTGCTAACAGAAATAGAATTCAAGTAAACATTGCATATTTGATTTAAACCACCTTACAGTTAAATTCACTCATGACACATTGGATCATAACCACTAATATGTAAAAAGTTTTTAAAAAAGCATCCTTATGTAAAGATGAAAATAAACTTTGTAAACTTGTTCATTTAAAATAAACTAATGTACTGCAGCTGCTCTTTGGTTTGGCATAGCTTTAGGTATTGAATATTCAAGTAAATTTGTTCCCAGGTAAACCAAGTCTCCTGTCTAATTTGTTTTTAATGGCAATGGCAAGACCTGAACTTCAACTTTATTTTTCTTAAATGTCATCACAAATGTTCAAATGTTTGAAGGACCAAGATAGTACTTATAAAATTTGACAGGGCTTCATTTTGATTTTTTCTCCCCAAATAGTTGATAGCAATAATCAATAGCAGTTGAGATACCAAAGAGGCAGCCTTTCTCCGATTCCCACACCACTTGTAGGCCCTTACTAGAATGGCCATTAATACGTATAAATCAGTTCAGCTAAATAATATTTAGGACGTGGCAAAATGCTGGCTGTAGATTAAATCAAAGATAAACAATTTAAAGGCTTTAACTGAAAATTTCTGAAAAGATGTTTGCTGTGCTATTATACTAAAGATGATGTTAAATAACAAAAATTAAAAGAACTAAGACTATAATATCATGAAAGTGTATAACGGTGAAGAAAGAAGTTTCCTTGGCTGTTTGCCAGGAGCACACAAATCTTTTGATCTGAATGTAAAAATACAAAGAGTACCAGGAGAACATTTCTGAAAGTAGTCAAGTATGTTTAAACATTTATCTCCTTATAATATGCAAACTGACAAACTGAAGTTAAGTTTTCACTTGGTAATTGATCTTTTTTTTTTTGGACAGAGTTTCACTCTTGTCACCCAGGCTGGAGTGCAGTGGCATGATCTCAGTTCACTGCAACCTCTGCCTCCTAGGTTCAAATGATTCTCCTGCCTCCACCTCCCAAGTAGCTGGGACTACAGGCATGTGCCACTATGCCTGGACAGTTTTTAAAAGTTTTCAAAATATTTTTAGTAAAGATGGGGTTTTGCCATTTTGGTCACTAGTCTCAAACCCCTGACTTCAAGTGATCTGCCAGCCTCAGCCTCCCAAAGTGCTGGGATTACAGGGGTAAGCCACCATGCCCGGCAATAATTGATATCTCTTACCTCTCATTCTAGTTTGCTAGAATCAAGATTATTAAGACTAAGGAGTTGAAACAAATGTAGAAGAATCCATACTATAGTATTCCAAACTATGTTTTCATTCTTTTGGTTCAAAGAGAAAAAAGGTACCTCCTTTTAAGATCTAATATTAGTATGGCTGATGGAAATTAGACCAATCTTACAAAAAATTTATTAGGGCCAGGCATGGTGGCTCATGCCTGTAATCCCAGCACTTTGAGAGGCTGAGGTAGGTGGATTTTTGAGGTCAGGAGTTCGAGACCAGCCTGGCCAACATGGTAAAATCTTGCCTCTACTAAAAATGTAAAAATTAGCTAGGCTTGGTGGTGTGAGCCTATAATCTCAGCTACTTGGGAGGCTGAGGCAGGAGAATTGTTTGAACCCAAGAGGCAGAGGTTGCAGGGAGCTGACATTGCATGAGATTGCACCACTGCACTTCCGCCTGGGAGACAGTACAAGACTGTCTCAAAAAACAAACAAACAAACAAACAAACAAACAAAAAAAAAAAAACCACAGAGTGAATGAAAAGTGATTTTTGCAAAATTAGACATCACAGAATGTTAGAAGTCATCCAGTCCAACTCATTCACAACACCCCTCCCCTGCAGTCTCATCTTACAGACAGGAAACTCCAACCTGTAGTAATCACAGATGCTGCTGAGATTCATCTCCACCCACTAACTGGAAGCAATCAATTATTTGAGAGAGAGAGAGAGAGAGAGACGAGAGACGAGAGAGAGAGAGAGAGAGAGAGAGAGAGAGTGTGTGTATGTGTGTGTGTGTGTGTGTGTGTGTGTGTGTGTGTGTGACTAAAAGGTATAAATAAGTAGTAAAATTTCTACATTGTTTATTCTGTACTTTTCTTTGGAGTTAATGCAACAACTCCTGTCACTTAGATTAAAAAAAAAAAAAAAAAGAAGACGTGTCTAGTCAGAAAGGGGTTGCTGTTAGTAAGTCAGACTTAAGATTGCGCATCTAAGAGTAGAATCTGCTTCTCAGAGACTAGGAATGTAAAATGATCACTCAGGTTAGAATTTGTGACAGCCAGGAGGAAAAATTAATCTCAAGTTGTAGCTGTTTTTTGCCTACTTTGAATTGCATTTTAAGTCACTGTTTAAGCTGTTACATGATTACCATAAAAAGATGCATTTTTAGTACTGAAATTTGAAAGTCACGTCAACAGCATGCTTTATTGTAACTACTGTTAAAACTCAAACTATTTTTTTTAACAGATTACAATATTCCTCTTAGCTTTTCTTCTGGACACTTACACTTCTTACTGTGTCCAGTATTTCTCCAGCATACGTACCTTTGCATTTCTCTGCCCATGTACTTACCCCTGAAAGGTCAACAAAAAAAGTTATTAAAAAAAGCAGAGAACTCAAAATATTTCTTATACTGCCAAGTTCCCTTTAAGCCTTGAGCACATGCTACACTACATGGTTGTATTAATGCTTATAACTAAGCTTTTGATGAGTTAGACCAATGTGTTGTATGTTCTAAATGAGATTTAGATATCTGAATCCTTCTGTTATAGCCAACAATAAAAAAAGTTATTAAAATGTTGAAAAGTATAAAATAGTAATTATAAATTAGCAAATACCGAATTTAAAAAAGCAGTTTTCCTTATACAGTACAAGCAACAGTAATTTGGATATTATTCGCCCTCAGCCACCATTTGCCCTAGATGTACTTTACTTAAGACAAGTTTTTAAGCTTGTGTTTTCAGAGTGAAAATTTATATGGATACTAACAATTCTAATAATGTAATTCAGGTATCAAAAAATACATATGCATGTTAAAATGTGATGACAGCTCATATTATGGCATCTCATAACAGGTAAGTATTATTTCCAGAATAACATTAAGTCACTTTTGTAGCTCTAGGTCAATGCTGCACAAATGGACACTTAAGATTAAGGCATCGTTCTGCTCTGGAGTAGCGCTTCTGTGAATCCCAGGAACTGTACAAAGGCTTTCTTTTTTTAAAAATATATCTTCTGTTATACTTCAATTATTTCATTCCACTGATCATTTTCTTACAAATTAAATCGAAAATATCAGTCTATAAATGTTTTCATACACCTATAAAAAAAGAAACAATTGAATTATTGGTTAAAACTTGATTTTTTATTTCTGAAAATATTAAATAGTTCTTTGGGTTAAGGTACAAGGCTACTAATATAACAAGATGGAAAGTGAATTCCTTAATGCTACTAATTTTATAATAATAAAGATTTTTTGTAGCAGTAAATAAATGGGTATAACTTTCTTCCCCTGAAGCAATCAAGAGAGTATTTTAAAAGATGGAGACTCTTACAGTACCCCCAGACTACTAACTTGGACATCATTTGAGAAGACATCTGGTCCACCTACACCTGTTCTAAGATTGGTGCAAGATTTAGAAAAATTCCCACAGCAACTGTTAAAGGAACTGCAGCTGAGGATTCTCAACAACCACAAGCATCAGCAATTATTCCACCCACATTAAGAAGAAATGCAGACCTAGGACTCAGGGCTTGTCTGGGGACTAAGTACTATTCCACAGCTACAGCTCTTGCTGGCATTGACCTGGCCCACAATCACCTATTTGGGGGTCATGCAATGTAGCTCCTCTTCTGACTGCACCCCACTTTGCCTGATGTGTCCCCTGCCACCCTGGTGCCTATGATCTGACTCTGTCCTGAGTCTTAGGCTCTGGCTGCAGCCCTGCATGCAGGCTCAAGGTCCTCTGCAAGTCCCTAACTGCTGATGACAAGGCCACAAGTGAGGAAATAGATGCTCCTCTAGCGGACACTCCAGATGAGATTCCTTTAGAAAAACAAACTCCTGTTATATAGGAACAGGATGATAAACGTGAGAAGCTCCATGTTTGCGGTAATTTACTACTTAGCAATGTTCTCTTGCTGTGTCTTTTACAAACCATATAACATAAATGAACTTCTTAATTCTTTTTTAGAGCATTTAATTTTGGTCATTTTTCTCTGGGTCAAATTTCCTCAGTAGTGGACAAAAGTTGTCTTTTCTTTTTTCTTTTTTTTTGAGATAGGGCCTCGTTCTTTTACCCAGGCTGGAGTGCAGTGGTGCCACTTTGGCTCACTGCAGCCTCGACCTCCTGGGCTCAAGTGATCCTCCCACTTCAGCCTCCCAAGTAACTGGGACTACAGGTGTGCACCAACACAAACCTGACTAATTTTTAATTTTTTGTAGAGATGAGGTCTCACTACGCTAATTTAAGTATCTCACTCAGGTTGGTCTCTAACTTCCAGGCTTAAGTGATCCTTTCACCTTGATCTCCCAAAGTACTGAGATTATAGGGGTGAGCCATCTTGCCTGGCCACTTTTTTTCTTTAATTAATAAGGTATTGTTTACTGAAAAGGCCAGTGGTCCACATACCAGTACTAAACTATTTTTTATTAGTTTCTCCATTAATTTACCAACAAATAGTTACTAAGATTGCGTTATAAGGGATAAGGAAAATGAGATTTTTGCAAATGTTACGTTCCAGTCTTTTCCATACTGCCTAAGTTTGCTGACATCATTGAAGAGACAAAAAAACCTAAAAACCAAAAGACCTGTAAATCATTTAAAAATTATGAAGTTTGCACACAAGCTACATTTATTTAAGGAAATTACCTTTATACTGTCTTACCTTGCTCTTATTCAAATGGTTAGTTATGAACAAGTGGTACTCAATTTTCTATTGCCATTGTTACATGGTTATTTGTCCCTGTAAGCACATAATTATATATGACATGACCAGAAAAAAATAAGTATTACATTCCTGGCTAAATGGTAAAACTGACTACAGTAAAATGACTATTATGTAAATATGAAATAGGTTGATGGTGTCTTCTTTTAGAAGACCATTTGTCTTCTTGTAGAACCTAGAAGTAAGTAAAGAGCTAACGTTAGCAGTCAAAAGTTTGATTTTATGTTTATCCTTGTGGAAGTATCTATTGGCTTTAAAGATGTTAAGTAGCAATAATTAAGAAGTTCACAAAATCAACCTTTCCCTAGATCTTTTTATTTTTAGAGATGGGCCTCAATAGTATTGTCTAGGCTGGCCTTAAACTTTGGAATTTTTCCTTGACCTTAGAGGTGTGATAAACCTAATGAAGACCCTAAAAATACTAATTTAAGAGAATGTTTTAAATGCTGCTAAAAGTCAAGACAATAACAGCAACAACAACAGCAAAAAAACCTCAGAAATTCTAACAGTAGGTTTTTAAGGGTATTTGCTATAGTCCAGCATCGTTTTTTTTTAAGTGGAGTCTCACTCTGTTGCCAGGCTGGAGTGCAGTGGTGTGATCTCGGCTCACTGCAACCTCCGCCCCCTGCAGGTTCAAGCAATTCTCCTGCCTCATCCTGAGTAGCTGGGGCTACACGCATGCACCACCAGGCCCAACTAATTTTTGTATTTTCAGTAGAGACAGGGTTTCACTATTTGGCCAGGATGGTCTTGACCTCTTGACTTCGTGATCTGCCCGCCTTGGACTCCCAAAGTGCTGGGAGTATAGGCATGGGTCACTGTACCCAGCCTTCCTTTTTTTTTTTTGAGTCAGGGTCTTGCTCTGTCATCGAGGCTGGAGTGCAGGGGCATGACCATAGTTCACTGTAGCTTCGATCTACCAGGCTCAAGCAATCCTCTTACCTCAGCCTCCTGAGTAGCTGGGACTACAGGAACATGCCATTAGGACTAGACAAATTTTTTCCCTAAGTTTTTGTTAGAGATTGGCTATGTGGCCCAGGCTGGTCTCAAACTCCTGAGCTCAAGTGATCCTCCTGCCTCAGCCTCCCAAAGTGCTGGGACTACAGGTGTAAGCCACTGTGCCCAGCCCAAAACCACTTTTCTACCGTGCAAGGAGATAATCACAGTGTTATTACTATTACCATTAAAAATTACCTCAGATGTGTTTTAGGCCATAATGCTAGTTAAGTGGCCAGACAATATTGTAAACCCAGGTCTGATGAAAATTCCCACTTCAACTTTACTATTCTACACCTGCATCCTCGATTAATAAATGATTAAGAGTCGCCTAGAAAAGGTTAAAATATATTCAGTGTGCTCTTTTTTAACTAAGGCAGCAAAGAATGTAATGCTTTCCAAGAATTATTTTCAACTAAGCAAAAGCTGGGGCCCTAAAGAATAACATTATTGGCCAGGCACGGTGGCTCACACCTATAATCCCAGGACTTTGGGAGGCCAAGGCGGGTAGATCACTAGGTCAGGATATCAAGACCATACTGGCCAACATGGTGAAACCCCGCCCCTACTAAAATACAAAATATTAGCTGAGCGTGGTGGCGCACACCTGTAGTCCCAGCTACTATGGAGGCAGAGGCAGGGGAATTGCTTGAACTCGGGAGGTGGAGGTTGCAGTGAGCCCAGATGGCGCCACTGCATTCTAGCCTGGAGACAGAGCCAGACTCCATCTCAAAAAAGAAAGAAAGAAAAAAAGAATGACGTTACTTTTTCAGAACAGCCAATGCCAAAAGAACTTTCCATATCTGAGCAGAGAAGTATGTGGTTGGGTAACAAAAACCTGCAGTTACACAGAACAAAAACAACATGAGCCACTATACTCTCCTCCCTCTAGCCCTTCCTCATAGAGGCTACTAAGAAACACAAACACCCTATATCACATATTTTAGTATTTTTAAAATGTTAAATTATTTGGATTTTTCCATATTTATTAAATCTGGTGCTTTTCATCTGAAACAGACAAAGCAGTGTTTCAGATGAGAACTATTACCTGATCTGACGATGCCTTCTTCAGCTCCATTCTCTAGCCACTGAGATTCGCTGTCCAACAAGCGGTTTTTTGATTCACTAAGTGGTTTGATAGGAAAAGGCTGATTTGAGCCACTACTGAAAAGAAGAGCAAAAAACTTAGTAAATAGCTTAATGCTAAACTAAGGATATTTAATAAATTAATAAGCAGCAAATTAGTATTCCTTCTCCTAAATATGTGAGGGCAACTCATGAGATCTTAGTACTCTGAAAAAACTATCTTCAAAATAAAAATATGCGCACAACCCCCCCATTAAATGGCTCTCTGAACCCAAGAATCTGTATTTCAACATTGCCAATGAAAACAATTAGTCAAAATTTTAAAAGTTTCAGAGGCCAGTTTAAAATGCTCTTAACATGTTAATCAGGAGCCATAGGTAGTACAAGGACAGGTGAGGATCTATGTCTGTGGCCAGTACAAAACAATTACCTGTCATTTCCCAAGTTTTCTGCTTTCTACCTCTGCAGTTTAGATCTAAGGGGAAAAAATGATTCAGTGATTTAGCGTAGACTTATTTTTCTAGCTAAAAGATCCAGGGAGGAAGGGAATGAAGGAAGGAAAGGAAGAAGAAAAGGGAACTAATACTTGTTGGGTCCCTATTATGGGGCAGACACGATGCTAGGCACTTTATACACATTATCTCAATTCTCAAAATAACCTTTGGTGGTAGGTATCATAATCCTAATTTTATAGAGGTGGAAACTGAGGCTCATAGTTTAAGTGCAGTGGCCAGAACCATAACAAATGTTAGAGCTCAAATGTCTAAGGCTTTAAGCTACAGGTTCTAAAACTTACGGTTCTTTCACTATTAATATGCTAGCTTACAACTTACCATTCCTGGCTGGGCATGGTAGCTCACGCCTATAATCCCAGCCCTTTGGGAGGTGGATGCGGGCGGATCACAAGGTCAGGAGTTTGAGACCAGCCTGGCCAACATAGTGAAGCCCCGTCTCTACTAAAAATAAAAAAAATTAGCCAGGCCTGGTGGTGGGCGCTTATAGTCCCAGCTACTCAGGAGGCTGAGGCAGGAGAATTGCTTGAACCTGGGAGGCGGAGGTTGCAGTGAGCTAAGTGCTCCACTGCACTTCAGCCTGGGTGACAGTGCAAAATCTGTCTCAAAAAACAACCATTAACAAACAAACAAAAAACCAAAAACCTTACCATTCCTCTTCCCCTACAACTTATTTCTGTAATGAGTAAATTCTGACTGTTTCACTTAGAAATATCTCTAGTGTCTTTAAAATTTTGTTTAAAATGAACTATTACACTGAATTTATAAAAGTTTACTTGCCATGCAAATATGGAAAAATTTCCAAGATGAACTAATGAAAAAAAAATTTGTATTTTTGAAACCTCATTGACAGTGTATTAAAATTCATTTATCAAAATAAAATGATGATTAGTATAATTACTAAGTTATTTGAAAAAATATAACTGACATAAACCAATCATTTTTTTTTTTTTTTTTTTTTGAGACGGAGTTTCGCTCTTGTTACCCAGGCTGGAGTGCAATGGCGCGATCTCGGCTCACCGCAACCTCCGCCTCCTGGGTTCAGGCAATTCTCCTGCCTCAGCCTCCTGAGTAGCTGGGATTACAGGCACGTGCCACCATGCCCAGCTAATTTTTTGTAGTTTTAGTAGAGACGGGGTTTCACCATGTTGACCAGGATGGTCTTGATCTCTTGACCTTGTGATCCACCCGCCTCGGCCTCCCACAGTGCTGGGATTACAGGCTTGAGCCACCGCGCCTGGCCTTGACATAAACCAATCTAATAAAATCTTGAAAGGTCTTAGTTGCTTCCTAGCTTGCCCAGACATTTCCGGTTTTATGTGATTATCCTGGTTTAATTATTAATAAACAAGCATTCTCCTTCCTAGTCTTAAGTGTTCTGGTTTAGATAATACAAAATTATGGTTATTAGCACATACACCTTTATTAACCCTCAGTTAAAAACGTTAAATTTCTCTTTCCCTATCTATGCTGGCTTACTAAATCACTGTATTTACCCATAAAAGGGAAATACAACACATGTATACAGCTTGCTTTATGATAAATATGGAAAAGCATAAAGACAAGAAGCACACCTTCTGGCATACTCATTCTGGTTTGTAACAAAAGCTTGTTCTGGATCCATCCCCACAAGGCGAGTTGGAAAACTGCAACCATCACCCAAGCTGCATAATGAAAAAGAGTAGTAATAATTTAAACAATGTTAAGTTAAATCAAAATAGTCAAATTTAACACTCATTTTTCAGAGACATGACATAAATTATCATAACTTGTCACATCAGGGAGTAATTCCTAAGATTTCTAATTTAGGGGTTATTACCTTGATATGGTTTGGCCGTGTCCTTATCCACATCTCATCTTCAATTGTAGCTCCCATAATTCCCACACGTCAGGGGAGGGGAGTGGGAGGTAACTGAATGATGGGGGGCAAGTTTTTCCTGTGCTGTGCTTGTGATAATGCATACGTCTCATGAGATCTGACGGTTTTATAAAGCAGAGTTCCACCGGCACATACTCTCTTGTCTGCCACCATGTAAAACATGACTTTGCTTCTCCTTGCCTTCCACTAAGATTGTGAGGCCTCCCCAGCCATGTGTTAATCAATTAAACCCCTTTCCTTTACAAATTACTGAGTCTCAGGTATGTCTTTATTAGCAGTGTGAGAACAGACTAATACCTCCATTGCAGACATAAGCCCTTTCCTTTTATAATTTATATACATTTAGAAAAAATGTCTTCTGTACCTATTAAGATTATGATGCCTAGTATAGCACCCCAACCACAGGTATTCAAGTATTTGGGTAAGTGATCTGCTTATCATAATCACTTATGACATCATTCAGGCTCAAATTGAAATTCATGATGTAAGTTCCACATATTTATTTATTCAACAATATTCATTAAACAAATATTTAGTGAATGCCTATGATGTTCTAGGTACTATTTTAAGCACCACAGATAGTGAACAAAAGAGAAGAAAATCTCTGCCTTCAAGAAGCTTAGGGTCTAAAGAGCATACTTATGCCTTATTTTCCTATTATCTAAAGACATCAAAATTGTATACTATAGGGACTTTTACTTCTAGCCAAGATGGCATAACTGGTAAACTGTACACAGTCAGAAACTGAACAGTACAAAATAATTGTTTTCAAAATAGGCAGTAGAGAACTGTGGTCTTAGAAAAAAAGAAAAACAAAACTAAGTGAGTCCCAGCTTTCTGCCAGGACCTTGGCACTACCAGGGGCAGGAAACCAAGCAGAACAAGGTAGTTTCACTGAATTGAGATGACAGGTGGGAGTTTTGAGGCTGAGGTGGGCTGGGGGCAGTGACTCATGCCTGTAATCCCAGCACTTTGGGAGGCTGAGGTAAGGAGTTTAAGACCACCCTGGCCAACATGGTGAAATACTGTCTCTATCAAAAATTTAAAAGTTAGCTGGGTGTGGTGGTGTGTGCTGTAATCCTAGCTATTAGGGGGGCTGAGGAATGAGAATCACTTGAACCTGGGAGGCAGAGGTTGCAGTGAGCTGAGATCGCACCACTGCACTCCAGCCTGGGCATTCAGCCTGTTTCAAAAAAAAAAAAAAAAAAAAAAAAAAAAGAGAGAGAGCGAGAAGCTGAGGTATTATCTTAAATCTATGGGACAGAGTTGAGAGAGAAAAAGAGCAAGATATGCAGAGAAATGGCTACAGAAATCTGTAGAGTGGTGTACTTGAGTCTTTTGATAAATACTAAGCTGCACACGTGAATCCAGGAAAAGAAAACAATAATGAATGATGAATAATTTACAGAGCTTTCACAGCACTGGCAAGCATTCAAATTTGACCAGCTTGAGTGGAGCGAAACTGAACACACGGATTTGGTAGAGACCCCACCTTTATTGGAGCACTATACTAGCTGTAGAGAAAGTACTACTCTGGACTCAATGTAATAAAGCTTAACACAAGCCTCAGGCCAAGAGCAGTAGTCAGGAGGCCAATCTAGATAGGTAGCAATGTAGCATTCAAAGTGTCCACCACAAAATTAAAAATTATTGGACATGAAAAGTAGCACAGATGTGATCTATAGCTAAGAGGAAAAAAAAGTCAATTAAAAAAAATCAGAAAATTAGCAATTTCAGTGAATATTAGCAAACAAAACTTTAAAATGATTATAAACATACCTGTGAATTAAAAGGAAAAATAGATATAGTGAAAAGAGAAATATAAGATATATACATGAAAAAAAAAACACTGAACTTCTAGAGCTGAAAATTACAGCATCTGGGCCAGGCATGATGGTTCATGCCTGTAATACCAGCACTTTGGGAGGACAAGGTGGGTGGATTGCTTGAGGCCAGGAGTTTCAGACCAGCCTGGTTAACATGGTGAAACCCTGTTTCTCCTAAAAATAACAAAAATCAGCCAGGCATGGTGCCACGCACATGTAATCTCAGCTTCTTTGCAGAGTGAGGCATGAGAATTGCTTGAACCCAGGAGGCACAGGTTGCAGTGAACCGAGACTGTGCCACTGCACTCCAGCCTGGGTGACAGAGCAAGACTCTGTCTCAAAATAAGTAAGTAAATAAAAATTAAAAAAAATCTTAAGTGAAAGATTCATTGGAGGAGCTTACCAGCAGACTAGACATTATAGTAGAAGAGATCAGTGAACTTGTGGACATTATCAGCAGAAACTAACCAAAATGAAACAAAGAGAGAAAAGAAGATGGAAGAGAAGGACAAAATAGCAATGACCTGTGGGTCACTATCCAGCAATTTACATATGTATACCTGAGAGTACCAGAAAAGGTGGTCAGGGAAGAGGTGGAAAGAAGGAAGTAGGTAGAAAACAAAAAAATTAAAGACCTAATTGATTGAAATTATTCAAATTTTATGAAAACTATAAACTCACAGATCCAACAAGCCTAATGAAACCCAGGCGGGATAAACACCAAGGGACCTCATCAAACTGCTTAAAACCAATGATAAGGATAAAATCTTAAAAGTACCTATAGGAGGGAAAAGGATAGTAATTTACAAACAATGAAATAAAGATGGGAGTCAAGCTGACTTTTTATCAGAAACCATGCAGACCAGAAGATAATGGAACATCTTTAAAGGAAGGAAAACAAACAAAAAACAACAATGAAATCTTATCGACTTAGAATTTGCTGTTTACAGAAAATAACTTCAAAACCTCTGTTTAGAGAAAATAACTTCAAAACAAGTAATTTGTGTTCCAACCAATGGGAGGGGAAAAATCTTGAATACATAAGACAATGGATAAAGTGTACAAAAGAGATTGATGAACTTGAAGACACAGCAAAAGAATCTATACAAAATGAAACAAAGAAAAAAGACAACAAAAAATGAACAATGCATCAGTGAGCTGTGAAAGGACTCTGAGTGATTGATAACACATGTAATTGATAACACATGTCCCTAGGAGGAGGGAGATGACAGAAGAAATAATGGTTAACAACATTTTCCAAATCTGATGAAAGCTCTAAAACCAGAGATTCAAGAAGCTCAACTAATCCCAAGCACAAGAAACAAGAAAACTAGACTGAGATATATCATAATCAAATTGCATGAAGTAGTAATAGTCTTAAAAGTAGCCATAGGAAAAAAAATTATATATAGACTAACAAAAATAAGAGTTGCCATAAATTTCTCATTCAAAAAATGCCAACCAGAAGCATAACATTTAACAACACCTTAAATTTTTTGTTTTGTTTTGTTTTTGAGAGAGTCTTCCTCTGTCCCCCAGGCTGGATTGCAGTGGTACCATCTCAGCTCACTTCAACATCTGCCTTCCAGGTTCAAGTGATTCTTGTGCCTCAGCCTCCCAAGTAACTGGGATTACAGGTGTGCACCATCACACCCAGCTAATTTTTGTATTTTTAGTAGAGACTGGGTTTCACCATGTTGTCCAGGCTGGTCTTGATCTTCTGCCCCTAAATGATTCACCAGCCTCGGCCTCCGAAAGCGCTGGGAGTACAGGCTGGGATTACCCACTGTGCCTGGCCAACATCTAGGATTTTATACCAAGCAAAAATGTCTTTAAAAAATGAAGGCAAATAAGTCATTTCCAGACTAAAAAAAAAGGTAATTCAGTTAATTGAGGGAAAAAACTCATAACTCTTAAAAATATGTCACTCAATCTTCATATATTTTTGCCTTCTTTATGATGATTTTGGTACCTAGCTGGCCTAAAATGGATGGAAATTAGAAAGAAATGGAAACTATAAATCATCTCAAGCATACATTCTCATTTACATTTGGGATAAAATTGCAATATGTGGTTGGTCTTTGATTTAGGACAAACAGAATACATAATTCACTTCTGTGATAGGATATTTGAAGTCGTGGGTGATAACTATAAATTTTTATAATTTTTTTTTTTACTTCAAACAACTTATTTTCATTTTGAGAGAAAAATCTTTTCCTTCTATTTTCCATTCAAATATATATCTAAATTCTCCTTGACCTTATTTAATTAAAAAATGAAAAATAAAGTATATTATGTTTGAAAAAGACATTTTGAGTTTTCATTCTCAGAGCCTGTAAGACTATCAATATGTATTATAGCCTCTAAATCTGAAGACATTTAACCAGAAAAACAGAGCACCACAGATTCCATAATTCCACGTTATAAATTACCTTGAAAATATTGGAAGTAGCCAATATTTCTTTTCATCACCAAAGACTTGTCTCCAATTTTTACTGTATCCAAGAGAGAAACCATTTCCATCAGGTCCATATGAAAATGTGGGTGCGCGGAACGATTCTGTTAAATATACATATATATATAAGCTAATTAATCTATTTAAAAATCATAGGAGGGACGGAAAGCACCAATTCTCTTGCTTATATCTTTGACTTAAAAACTATAAATATAATTTAAAATAAATAATATATTGGTAGTAATTAAAAGATAAATTTCTGAAACTTCTTTTGGGAAAAAATAGCACATTTAATATTTCATCAACCTTATAAAATAGCATGTCAAAACAATTATCTAATATTACTGAAAATCTAGTATTGTGCTATCTCTTACTTGGCTTTTATTTCTAAAAGATATCCTAACTCCTGCAACTTCTCTCATTATTTATGAATCTCCCACTATGTTCCTGATAGCACAGTACCAGATATTTGGAATCCAGAGATAAATTAGGTAAAATTCCTACCAAAGAACCTAGTCTAGCAAAATTATAGTGTAATAAGTGCTAATACAGTCCTGGTGTACTGGGAGCACAGAGGTGAAAAGAAGGGGATAATTTTGTCTGGATAGTGACATATGTGTGCCTTTGAGGGTATTGCAGGGAAAGGTGAGCAAGCTCAGGGTGACCAGACCGTTATTTCAAGCTTGGTTATTAAGTGATGTAGAGTGAGGTCTGGAGAAAGATACGGGCTTCACAAAAAATGTTTTTTAATTTAAAAATGGAATACACTTCAGTGTGTTTTATAAGATAAGGATAAGAAGTCAGGGCATTGGGAGGGATTGCTGACATAAAAAGTAAAATAAGAAGTGAAAGGGATCCTAGAGAAGATGGAAAGGAGTCTGGAAAAGTTGTGATTAACCTTGAATACCAGAAAAGGCATCTTTCTTCCTCAGATGTTAGAGGCAGATGAGAATGGTGGGTGCGAAAGAAGAAATGTTTGTATGAGGCTATAAACATGTGAAGATGAAAGTTACTTGTAAGTTTTTCCAATTTTTCTATTAGTGACTCATAAAATGGCTAAGGAGAGTGGGAGAATTACGAAAATCTGGAATAATCGTCTTGGGTAATAGTTGAGGGACCTGACCAGAAACATGTGACATTACTGCCAAACAGAGCTAAGGCCCTCAATGAGGCTTAACATCTTAAATCTGTAGCTACAGCAAACCTTATGAAGTAAGACATCCTTCAACAGCTTTCAGCAGCCCCACTGCATATGGGATAAAGAGGATGGCTGGATAACCAGAGCCATGAATTAGCAAAGGATCTAGAATGGACATGGGTGAGAAATAAAACGAGAAGGGAAAGAAGAACTTGGGAGAAAACTGTTGGAGAATGGAGGACTCAGGAAGTACATCAGAATATAGCAAATAGTCAGAGAATAACATATTCAAGTTTAAAATTTCATTTTCAGAGGCTCTTCAGTTCTAAGTGATTAAAAAGCTGAACGTGTGGCTGTGGGAATGAGTGGCCACCAGAATCAAAGGGACTAGCTTGCCTATCTGGGATAGCAGCATCAGCTTAAATGTAGGAACTCACTAAATGTGGGTAAACGATCTCAAGGTGCGTTGGCGGCAATTATGAAAACGACAGAGGTGATACAGCAGAATTAGACACCCTTCAGAGAATCCAAAAACAAACATCTCAATGTAGTTGTGGAGAACTAGCTAAAGACAAGGGCTATGGGAGACGAAGCTATAAAAAAGTGGTGTTTAGCTAAGCAATGTTTCTTCTTTTTTTTTTTTTTTTTTTGAGACGGAGTTTCACTCATGTTACCCAGCCGAGATCGCGCCATTGCACTCCAGCCTGGGTAACATGAGTGAA